AAACCCTCAAGGAAAGCATAAACCCGAAACCCTGAACCCGAAACCCTAAACCCTAAAACCTAAAACCCTAAACCCTACACCCTAAACCCTAAACCCTAAAAGGAAACCCTAAACCCTAAGCCCTCAACCCTAAACCCTGAAGCCTAAACCCTAAAAGGAAACCCCACACCCTTAACCCTAAACCGTAAACCCTAAACCCTAAAAGGAAATGGGTTTCCCTAAAAGGAAACCGTGAACCTTGAACCCTAAACCTTAAACCCTGAAAGGAAACCCTAAACCCTAAAAGAAACCCTAAACCCTGAAAGGAAACCCTAAACCCTAAACCCTAAAAGGGAACCCTAAACCCTAAGCCCTCAACCCTAAACAGTGAAGCCTAAACCCTAAAAGGAAACCCCACACCCTTAACCCTAAACCGTAAACCCTAAACCCTAAAAGGAAACCCTAAACCCTAAGCCCTCAAGCCTAAACCCTAAACCCTAAAACGAAACCCTAAACCCTAAGCCTTCAACCCTAAACCGTGAAGCCTAAACCCTAAAAGGAACCCCCACACCCTTAACCCTAAACCGTAAACCCTAAACCCTAAAAGGAAACGGGTTCTAAACCCTAAACCCTAAAAAGAAACCCTAAACCCTAAGCCCTCAACCCTAAACCTTGAAGCCTAAACCCTGAAAGGAAACCCTAAACCCTTAACCCTAAACCCTAAAAGGAAACGGGTTTCCCTAAAAGGAAACCCAAAACCCTAAACCTTAAACCCTGAAGGGAAACCCTAAACCCGAAAAGGAAACCCTAAACCCTAAACCTTAAACCCTGAAAGGAAACCCAAAACCCTAAACCCTAAACCCTGAACCCTAAACCCTAAACCCTGAAAAGAAACCCTAAACCCAAAACCCCCTGAACCGTACACCCTAAACCCTAAACCCTAAAAGGAAACCCTAAACCCTAAACCCTGGACCCTAAAGCCTAGACCCTAAAAGGAAACCCTAAACCCTGAACCCTAAACCTTAAACCCTGAAAGGAAACCCTAAACCCTAAACCCTCAACCCTAAACCCTAAAAGGAAAGCATGAACCCGAAACCCTGAACCCGAAACCCTAAAACCTTAAACCCTAAAACCTAGGGTTGGCTAAGTGACCGCACGGGGTTTGCTAAGTGACCTGAAACATGATACGGTTTCCGATTGGCCAAGTGACCGTGTTCGGGGTTGGCTAAGTGACCCTGGCACCCACCGTTTTGAGGCATCCCTCACCCTCCTACTTTCATTCGTTTGGTCAGGATCATTACCATTTGTGCTGCTATTGGGATAGACGTTTGCGCCGTCACCACCATCGCCAATGTCATGTCGGTGGATATGGGGGTTTCCGAAAATAGGGGACCCTAATATAGAACCTCAAATAGTAGGATTGCTGAAGTGCATGCCTCGTTTGCAAGCCTTTGCTATGTGTATATGCGGAATCTTTTTCCTTGTTGCTCTTAGGCCCAAGCACAGAACGCCTTGAGCATGACATTTTAACAACACATGTACCATATCTGTAGGTGCCAAGCCCAAGTAGCACAGACTTCTTTTTGCTTGCTTTCTTCTTGTGCGTAAAATCTCCGCCTTGTGTGAGCTATGGCTGGGTTGAGTTTTGCAGGGGACCTGATCACTCCACTTGCATCCTCTACTCAACCTGCTGGTTCACTCCAGCAGGTTATGAGCCCAACGCAGGGCTATGGCACCACAGGGCATGCGACGTCCACAACACCTGATGCACCCACCGCCGCACAGAGGGTGGTTTGGGTTTTGTGGTTGATTCGGCTGCGGGAAGGGCGCGTGTTAGCACAGACCCAGCAGAAGGCTTGCAACATGTGTCGACCACCGGTGAGGGTGGGATTGAGCAGGGTATGCCCCGAAGCATGCCACTTGCCTTTGCAGCTCCGGGCGGAAGCCCAGGACCACGGGCCAACACTGAGCCCCGTCAGGACACTTTGAGTGAGGACCGCGAGGTTGCAGACCAAAGTGGTGATGGTGGTTTGGGGGGCATAAGGTCAACTGGGGAAGCTCCTGGAGTTGAGGGGTTTGTCACCCCACGTTCGCAACAGGGTTTGACCACCATCACCGAGATGGTTGAGGGTATCCCTGGTGTTTTTATGTCTCGTGTTTCCGAGTTGTTCCGCGTGGCAAGGACTGAGGTGCAGGCCCAGACACCGCCACGTCATGTACGTGTTCACGCAAGCCCTGGTGCAACATCTAGGGCGAGGGCCTTGGCAGATGGGAGTGTGGGGTCAAGTAGTTCGCCGCCGCAGCCGGGATCACTCGGCACACCCACTACCTTTGCCCCGGGTCCCGGAAGGGAACCCCCGCTACTTAATGCGGAAACGCTGCAGCGCATGCAAGCTCTTGAGCAGCGGGCTCCCATCATCTACCCTAGATCTGCAGCCCCTGAGCGGCCCCCTAGCCGTACGGAGACGTCGTCAATACCCCAGGAGGCTATCCAAGCAGAGGTCGCCAGGCAGCTTGCAGGGTTTGAGGCCAGAGCGCAGGCACAGGAATCCGAAAATGAGAGGTTAAGGCAGCAACTAGCAGAGGCGAATGAGCAGAGGGAGCGAGCCATTAGGGAAGCAGCACTTGCCAGGAGCATCCAAACGCAGACCCCTAGTGGGCACCCGCCAATCCCTCCTCAACCTTTCCCCAGTGCTGCGCCTCCAAGTGCGAATCCTGTCATCCCAACTTTGGCTGATCAGGTCATTGAGGCCCTGAGAGCTCCAGCATCCACATCAGGGTTTTGGTCCAACTTGTGGTCGGGCTTGCAAGGTTCGCAAAGGCTGCCGGGCAGTGCTACACCACCCGGAAGGGTTGGGTCTGTGTCAGAGCCCATGGCTCAATCAGCACAGGTTCCACTCGCTTCAGGTCCTGAGCGGGCCTCTTCTGGCCCAAACCCCCATTCTCAGCCCGAAATCCTGGGTTTGGGGCAGTTGAAGGCTCCGAGCTTAGGTGGACCAGCCAATCCACCGGTTTTAGATGGCTTTACCACCAACGTAGGGCAGCCACCACCGCCGCCACCGCCGCCCGGAAGGGACGGGCAAGTGCCATATTCTCAGGCTGTAGGCGCTCAGGTTGCATCGACTCCAGGAGGGCAGGACACAACACCACAAGCCCCAAGTTCAGTGTTGGATGCTCTGGTTTTGGGGGTGCAACAGCTGCAAAGCCTACAGGCTCAACAGCTCAAGGTTAAAGGCGATGATGTGCCCGAAACGGTTAAACCAGGGATCACCACCTTGCCAAAACTCGTTGCGCCTAATCCTTCGGGTGGCTCCTTGGAGTTTCAAGACTGGCTTGAATTGGTGAGCGGCTTGATGGTTGATCTTTCGGACAGCTCTCAACTTTGGTGGTCGAGTGTGTTGCAGTTGGCGCGTGATGCATTTGCCCGTTGGAGTGTTTCGTCCCCCGTGGAGCGTTTGAGGGTGGCTCCTGATGATAGGGCGGAGGTTGTTGAGGGCAAGTGGTCAAGGGTAAATGCTAGGGCGTGTGCCATGCTGTTGGAAGCACTGGATGCGTCTGTGAAATCGGACATCGTAGCACGCAGGGCAACTCAAAATGCAGCACACATCATGTTCCGCCTCCATACGATTTACCAGCCAGGTGGAACCAATGAGCGCGACCTCATACTCAGGAACTTGCATGATCCACCGCAGTTTACGGAAGTGGTTGCAGGAGTAAACTTGTTGAGGTCGTGGGGTCGTTGGCATCGTCGTTGTTTGGAGTGCGGGATGGTAGCCCCTGATCCGTCCATTCTGGCCCGTGGTTTAACCACGGTAACAGCCCAACACATAGCCAAACACCCAGATGTGCAGTTCCGCACTCAAATCGTGCGTAGTGCACTGCACATTGATCTGCACCCATCGGGAGAAGAGGTTTTAGACTACCACAAGCATTTGCTGGGTGAGTTTGAAACCATGGCTGGGGCACTGGACTCAAAGCGCGTAGTCACCAATCCCAAAGCCCAAGCGTTGAATGCAACCACAGATGCACCAGGTGGTGGAAACCAACCTCAGGGGCAGGGGAAAGGCTCGGGAGGAGCAGGTGCCAAGCCGTGTAAGTTCTTTCTCTCCCGGAAGGGGTGTAGAAATGGCCCTAAGTGCAAATTCCCACATTCCATGACCGAGCTCTCTAAGGCTGAGCGGTTTAAAAAGTGTTTGGTGTGTGGCTCTGAGGAGCATCGTGCAAAGGATTGTCCCGTTGGCAAGGGCGCGAAGTCCGATGCCAAATCACCCGATAAGCCCACGGTGCAAAGGACCACAGCAGCAGCACAGGATGCAACATCACCATCAGCATCAACACCTCAAGCGCCAGTGCAGGCTACACCTATCGCGAATGGCATGCCCGTCACGCTCGAGTCCTTTATGCAACAGGCAGTCCAAGCTTTGAGGCAGCTCGAGGCCCAGCCACCGCGTAGCGATCCGCCTCAGCCTCAGCCGGAAGGCTTAAGTACTGCATCACAACAGTCCTCGGCACCTAATCCTTCGGTGAAGAGGCTCACGATTCGCTCCGTCATGCCCTCAAGTTGTTTCCCGGTTTCGGGCCCCCCAAACCGGGAAATTTTGAATTCTCCTGCCGTTGAGCCCGCTGTGGAGCCATCACCCGTTGCATCCCAACCACCTCTCATTGGCTACGCCCTTCTCGACTCCGGTGCCACTCACCCCATGCGACAAGCCTCATCTGAGGAGGAGTGGGAGACCGCAGAGGAAGTGCAAGTGAGTCTAGCCGGCGACCAAAGCACAATCATGCGTTTGACGCGCGCGGGCACTCTCCTACTGCCACCCGGAAGGGACGGCCTAGTGCAGCCAATTGTTCCCATGGGTGCTATCATAGAGCAGTTGGGGTATAAGCTGGTTTGGTCCGCCGGTAGTTGCAAGCTGTATCCTCCTGATGGTAAGTCGTTGAGGCTTAGGGTCAAAAATGGTTGCCCGGAATTGGTTGAGAGCCAAGCCCTTACGCTGATATCACGGTTGGAAGAACACAAAATGCAACAGGTTGAGGAGCTCAGGCGAAGAACGGATGAGGGGAAGGATCGCATCAGACAGGCGAAAATCGCAATGGAGCGCACGTGGTGGGATCATTTGGTTGAGCATGTGAGCTCGTCGGCGCCAGCATCGGGCCACATGGCAGTGTCAACAGCTCCATTCTTTCAGGATGTGCCCGACCGTGCATTGTCAGGCATACTCCCATCGGAAGATGTGGACTCCAAGACTTTGTGGAAGGCTCTTGAAGAAGGCATGCCAAACCTCAACCGGCGAAGGAGGAAGGCGCTTCATCGAGCATCCAATTGGGTTGTTCACTTGTTTGCGGGCCCTGGCTCGCACAAGGCTTTCAAACGATTGGAGTCGCAGGATACAGTTGTTGTTGAGCTTGACATTTGCCGCTCAAGGAGCCAAGATCTTTACCATGATCCGCTTTGGACGCTTCTTGCTAAGGTTGCAAAGTTGGGACGAGTTGCGGCGGTCATTGGAGGTCCACCAACCCGCACGTGGTCCATGACAGGGCACCGCGCCGATGGACCACATCCACTCCGCTCGCCCACTGAACCGTTTGGCCTGAGCACTCTCACCTCTGACGAGCGTGATCTCGTTGATCGTGATACGGGTTTGTATGCTCGCATGTTGTGGTTGCATGCACTCTCCACCGCCGGGAGGCGTGTGCACCCAAACCCATCGAATGGAACATCCATGGTGGCATTCATGTTGGAGCAACCGTCGGTTGAACACCACATGGCTTCAAGCCATTCTGCTGTGGGTAGCGCTCCGTCGTTTTGGAACACCGCGCTGTGGCAAGCTTACGCTGAAGAGGCTGGTTTGTTTGAGGTGCATTTCCGTCAAGGTCCGTTGGGGCACGCTGGCGATAAACCCACAACTGTTGGCACAAACTTGCCCGACCTTAGAGACTTGCAAGCGTTGCAGGGGGAGGTGCCGCAGGTTTGTTCTAGCGCCGACAACCGTGTGTCTCCAGTGTGGGCGCCGGGGTTTGTGCAAGCCATCGTGTACGCACTCCAACGGTGGCCATGTTACCGCCTCATGAAATTCACCCAAGCGGATTGGGAACAGCATGTTGCGAACAATCACGTGCCTTACCGCCGTGATTGTGCAGTTTGCGTGCACGGTGCCGGAAACGGCCGCCGCCACCACGGTGTAGTTCACCCGGATGTGTATTGCATGTCAGCCGACATTGCGGGGCCCATCCGTGTGAAGGGCAAAGACCCAGAAAGCCGCAACCACCGACCAGCCACGTTCAAGTACTTCCTCGCTGTGTCGTACCGCTTCCCACGGCTCAGAGGAGTGAAGGAGGAGTCAGACCCCAGCCAAACCGAGGGGTTTGATGATGCAGCACTCCTCCCGGGAGGGACGGATGACCTTGCAGATGAGGCCTTTCCCGCAGCAGAAGGCCCCCCGTGCGAGGATTACGAGGACTCCCTGTACGAGCCAAGTTTAGCGGAAGAAGAGGAGGAGGAGGCGGAAGGTGAAGGAGTTGAAGGGCCTAGGGAGTTTGCAGCCAAAGTTGCCGAGGAGCATCCCTGGGAGTCAGCCAGGTGTGAACTCGAAACACCACCTGACATGGCGAGGCTGGTGTTTGCAGTGCCACTGCACACAAACAAGGGTGATGATATCCTCAATGCCCTCCAACAGGTGTACATTACCCTAAGGTCCCTAAACCTCCCCGTGCTTCGTTTCCACACAGACCGCAGTCGTGAGTTCTTCAACAAAAGGACTCGAGCTTGGTTTCACGAGCGTGGAGTCCGCACAACAACAACAGAAGGGGACGTTCCGCAGCAGAACGGCTCTGCTGAGAACACCGTGCGCTGGCTCAAAGCACGAGCACGAACCCTTCTCACCTCTGGCGAGGTTGACTCGTCCTTGTGGCCTTGTGCAATCATGACAGCTGCGGCTCAGCAACGGGCGCAGCAGCTGGGCATGAAGTCCAAACTTGCCATCCATTTCGGAGGGAAGTGTTCCGTGAAGCGAAAGTTTTTTAGCAAGAAGGGTGATTTGGAGGATAGATGGGTTGAAGGTAAGTATATGGGGTTGTCACCATCTGTGAATGATGGTCACATCGTGTTGCGCAGCGATGGTGTTGGCAACGGCTTTGTGCAAACACTCCATGTTCGCACCCGCCTTGTTTCTCCGGATCCACCGCCCTTGCAGTTTGTAGGAGACTCGCTTGAGGAGGAGCACACACCACCTCCACGCAGGGTTCGCGGCAAGCGGTCTGCTGGTGTGAGACTTGACGACGTCTTTGCACTTGACCCGCCGCCCCCCTTGCCGCCGCCAGCAGAAGCTCCACACCCGGAAGGGCCTGTGTCACCGGTTGAGGAGGAGTCTGCCCGTGTAGCGCGCTTGAGTCTGCAAGACCTTGAAGGTTTAGCTACGGAGCTTATCGAGGACGACTGGGACCTTGATGAAGCGTTGTGGGTGTTAGCCGAAGTGTGCAGAGCAGCGCCCCAGCTGCAACACAAAGCTGGGTTGTACCGTCACGGAGGTGTCGTAGGAGTTTTAGGGGGTACCACAGATAAGCCTTGGCTGACAGAGCTTATGAATATGGTGCTTTCGGCAGTTGCACCCACAGCAGAGTACACCTCGCTTTGGTTGTCTAACTCCACTGTTCAACCCGTGCACGCCGACCACCACAACCTGCAGGGATCCACAAATGTAGTCCTCCCTTTGAAGCTCCCGCCTAACGGAGGGGATTTGTGGATAGAACTCAAGCCTGGTGACCTAGTCAGTGGCCCTGTAGAGGAGCGGGTAGACGGCAAAGGCAGGCGCTGGTTAGGGACAACTCACAAGTTAGAGCGCGGTAAGCCCTTCTTCCTAGACCCTACTCGCCGCCATGGAAGGGTGAGAGAGCAGTGCTTGTCGGCTACACTGTCAACACGTTAGGCAAAGAGCTTGAGCACGAGTTTCAAAGCCTTGAAGCTTTAGGTTTTCCACTCCCAGCGTCGGTACGTTTACCGCTGACTGAGCAGCAAGACGTGAGACGTCTAGACGCGTTTGACTGCTTCGAAGAAGAGCCCCTTCAGGAGACAAAGGCACGTCACCCTGACGGGAAGACTTCTGAGTTAGCGCCTGGGACTGTGCTTAAAGGCGGAGGTTGGAAAGAAACCCAAGCCGTAGAAGCAGGTACTGTAGAGCTGGAGGTGTCGTGGAACCTGAAACACTCGCCGGACCACAGGCGAACCCAGTCTGAGCACGCCCTGCTGGCTTGCCAACCAGACACCGAGACACAGGTTGAGGAGGAGGAGAGCTCAAGCGAAGACTCCTTGCCGGAGCAACCAGTGCTGTGGGAGTTGTGGGTTCCAGACCCGCAGACAGGTGAGCAGCTGTGTGTTCTCAGGTCTGACGACTCGGACGCGAGTGAAGCTTGCGCCCTTTGCAAGTCTGAGCCGGTTTACACTACCAACGTGGAGCTGTTGCTTGACGGGTTGCAAGAACCACTGCAGGTAGTCCACACTGTAGACCCTCGGGATGCAGAGCAATGCATCGAGAAGTGGATGCCGTCCATTCACAAAGAGATCGGTGTCATTGAGAAGGCTGTGCGGCGACTGCCCCCTGCAGAGGTCCGTTCGGGAGGTTGGCTTAGGCGTAAGGAAGTGAAGGTAGTTCCGTCTAAGTTTGTGTTTACAGTCAAGCCACCAGACCCTTCTGAGGGTGACGCTGCCCTCGCTACCCGGAAGGGTCAAGCTTACCACAAACGCAAGGCTCGCTTGGTCGCTTGTGGCAACCACGCCCCCGGCACAGGGTCTGAAGTCTACGCTTCAGGTGCTGCTGCAGAGACACTCCGTTGTTTTGTAATCATCAGCTCCAAGAGGAATTGGTGCATCGGGTCTCTAGATGTCACCTCAGCTTTTCTGTTGACCCCAATCCCGCAAGGCAGAGGTTTTCCAGTGTTTGCTCTCACACCGCCTAGGTTGCTAGTGAGACTAGGTTTGGCAGAGGAAGGGGAGCTTTGGATCCTCACGCACGCTGTGTACGGGTTGAGGGAGTCGCCTAAGCTTTGGTCGGACTTTAGAGACTGCCAACTTCGGGCGCTGAGGTGTGTTGTTGACGGAGTTGAACTGCAGCTCCAGCAAGGAAGGTTGGACCCAAACTGGTGGCGTGTTGTTCGCACCTCTGACGGGGTAGTCGTAGGAGGGTTGCTCACTTACGTTGACGACTTTTTGCTGGCAGGCAGTAAAGAGGTAATCGAAGCCTTGGCCACGGCCATCCAAGGCATCTGGAAGACGACGCCTCTCGCACTTGCCACCGCAGAGCACCCGCTGAGGTTTTTAGGGGTTGAAATCCTAGTGCAAGGTTCCGGGTTTGTGTTGTCCCAGCAGGCTTACGCAGAAGAGCTGCTGCGTCTCAACGACGTGAAGCCCACTGCACTAGGTAAGGTCCCCTGTCCGCGTGACCTTGTTTCGTTTGACACTCTCCTGACGGACGAGTCCCCAACCGAGGAGACCGTTCGAACAGCACAGAGGCTGACTGGAGAAATCCTGTGGCTAAGCCAACGCACTCGGCCTGACTTAGCTTTCACTGCTTGTGTGCTTGCTTCTCTCAGCACGAAGGCGCCGCAACGAGCCATCCGCATTGCAGAGAAGGCCCTTGCGTATGTGCAGCGTACCAAGGCGCTGGCTCTCACCGCTGATGCGGATGACACACGATTGATCGCGTATAGTGATGCCAGCTATGCGCCGGAAGGGAATCGTTCTCACACGGGGTGGGTGGTTTTCCTTCACGGGTCGCCGGTGTGCTGGCGTTCAGCACGACAGTCTTTTGTCACCCTCAGCACCGCAGAAGCCGAGCTTGTTGCTGGACTTGACGCTGTAGTTGCCCTTCAGTCAGCAGAGGCCATGCTGAGCGAGTTCGGGGTTTCGAGCTTCGACAAGACTTTGAGGGTTGACTCACAGTCTGCACTGGCCATCGCTATCGGCCAAGGGTCTTGGCGAACCCGCCACCTAAGGGTGCGCGCCAACTACCTTCGAGAGCAGTATGAGTCTGGTGAGATCATCCCTGTCTACTGCCCAGGAGTTGAGCAGGCCGCAGATCTTCTGACGAAGGCGCTGCCATCTGCGAGGATCCTTGAGCTCGCAGCCATCTGGGGTTTGCGCGAGCATGGCGTACCTCGCCGGGCGGAAGCTCAGGCCTACAGTGAAACTCAAGCTGTGGGCACTGGGACCGTGGCGCAGCAAGACCTGCAGCTGAGTGCCTTCGCTGTCCTGCTCGCCTTCTTTCAGGTCGTAGGTGCTGCCAGCCAGACAACGGACGAGGAAGAAGACTTGTCTCTCCCCGTGTCGCTTGATGCAGATTTGATGTTGGCAGTATCCATCATCTGCATTGGTATCTGCTTCATTGCAGTGTGGGAGTTCTTCAAGTGGTGCCTTCAAGGCGTCATCTCCCGCCGAGAGGCAGGGACACCCGTGTTGTCTCTGAGCCCCCGCAAGGCGCGCAAGTTACAGCGCCTTCGAGATCAAACTGCGCAGGCCATCCAGGCCGAGATCTCTGCACGTGAGGAGGCAGCAAGCTCGCAGTCTGTTGCTGCAGCGCCCAGACGCCGTCCCTCACAAACAACTCGCACGCGTGAGCAGGCAGGTGGAGCACCAACGCGTTACTTTGCAACCCCCGAAGGGACCAAGCTCCACCGCACTAAGACCTGTTCCACGCTCGCCCACTCGCACAGGTTTGTTGAGTTTCAAGTGTGCCAGCAGTGCCACGGCAGCGCTGCAGACCACACCCAGCACAGCACAGGGTAGGAACTACTCCACCCTAACGGGTTGGATCTCTCAGTGAGCTCATCCGTAGCTGTGTCTTTTTCCTACACGAGGTGCCTTGAGAGCCCTCGCATAGTGAGGGCAGTTGGCCCAGCTTTTGCCAGGTAGTTCAGGGTAGGTGTGTCGTCACCCTGACGGGTTGGACCTGCAGTAGCAAGTAGGTCGCAACTCCCTGGCGGGGCTGCGAAGGAGGAGTGCTGAAGTGCATGCCTCGTTTGCAAGCCTTTGCTATGTGTATATGCGGAATCTTTTTCCTTGTTGCTCTTAGGCCCAAGCACAGAACGCCTTGAGCATGACATTTTAACAACACATGTACCATATCTGTAGGTGCCAAGCCCAAGTAGCACAGACTTCTTTTTGCTTGCTTTCTTCTTGTGCGTAAAATCTCCGCCTTGTGTGAGCTATGGCTGGGTTGAGTTTTGCAGGGGACCTGATCACTCCACTTGCATCCTCTACTCAACCTGCTGGTTCACTCCAGCAAGGATCCTTATTATAAGGACCCCAAAATAAGGTACCCCCCCCCCCCCCCCCCCCCCCATTTTTCGGAAACTCCCATATGGTGATCGGTCATCTACATGGGCATCTTCTTCATCGCAATGGCCAAGCAGAATGGGAACGACTACGCCCTGCATGCTGTCTTCGTAGCTGAGTGGATACACCCTGCACTTGTTGGGAGAGTATTAGCCACTATAAAACTGAAAGTGAACACTTTTGGGGGCTTATGAACTCAGCAACTAAGATGTTAATGGGGGCGGCGAGGAAGATCATTGCGGTGACGATGATCTGTTGCCCCAGGCAGCCATGACGATGATGGCAATGCTGGCATGCCGATGATGCCCATCGCTTGATTGCTAGTCGTGCTATTGTTCAGATTCAGAACCGGTGCCAGCATCGATTTCCTGGGTTTCTCAGCAAACAGTCATGACCTGAACCCAAACTCTTACATGCTGAAACTTGATACCCAAGGCCACATAAACCTTTGGATGAAGCTAAGCTCTAAACCCTCAAGAGCTAAATCCTGAAGCTCAAAAAGCCCAAACCTTAAACTCTACTGGCCCAAGCCCGGAACAGTAAAAAGCCGTAATCCCTAAACCCTTAGGGCATAACCCCCCCCGCCCCCCCCCCACCCCGAAATCCCAACAAAAATACGAACCCTCATGCCCTCCCCGGGCTCCGCACCTTTTGTGAGGAGGACCCCATCGAAGCCGCGAAATCTTCGCGGAGATGTCAGAGCCCAAGGGGAGTCGGGAGAAGGTCCCACCAGGGAGGCGCCTGAGCAGGTTGAGCCTTCACCTGGGTGGTTGTCAAGATTATGGTCCCCTTTTGGGCACCCTAAATATTAGGTACTATACAAGGGACCCAAAATGGGGCCATAATTTTAACAACCACCCAGGACTTGCACGCGACATTTTTAGGGCTCCTTGCTATGATTTCCTGTTCATTGTAAGTCCTAGGTCCAGGGAGGGTTAACAGGGTTCAACGGGGCTGTATATACAGGGATTTAGGGTTTCGGGTTGTGTGAAGTAGGGTTTTTGTTTTTGGGTTCAAGCTCAACAAAGCTTTCTAGGGCTTAGGATTCAACTAGGATTTGGGGTGATCTGAAGTAGGTTGAAGTAGGGTCATAGATTGACAGCTTCTTGATGCATCCCGGGACCTCATCTCTGGTGATGGATGTGCAGGCTACCACCGCTCCCATGAAGATGGTCGGCCTGAGCTCGTCTTGGTCTTTTCTTTTAGCTAGGCAGGGGTCCGCCAGAATGAATCCAGGAATCAAGGTTGATGTTGCTGTCTCCGTTGAGATTGCCATTCTGACCCTGATGACTCATGTTGAGCGTGGGGAGGCATCGCCAGCTGCTGACAAGTTGATGTTGATACCGCGGCGACGGCTTCTCAGCAGAGGTTCTCATCTTGTCCTTTTCGACGCAGCCGGCCGCGATAGCCCCCACAGCCCTTTGAGCCCTCATGTCGCATTTCCTGGTGGCTGCAGACCCGGAAACATGGTCGCTGCCATCTGAGAGTGTCGTGCAGGTGGATCTGCGGCCCGGGGATCCAGAGCGCAAGCGGCCCGAAACGCGGAAGTCCGGAACCTTGAGCGATGAAGGCCCACAACTTCGCACGGACCTCGAAGAGGAGCTGTTGAGAGGTGTGACTCTAAGTGAGGGCCTAAGTGGAATGGGCGGGCATTGGGCCAGCAACTCAACGAACGAGGCAGATTTTGAGTTGAGCTTCAAGACATCCAAGTACGACCATTTTCTAAGCCATGACTGGGCCACATCCCGATGGTTGAAGATCTGCACCATGCTTTTCATTTTTAACTCCCGGGCAGCAATGGTAGCAACTCTGATATGTTCGCTGGTTCTCGGCCTATGTCGACCAGCTGATACTTAGTTGCTCAATCGCAAGGCTTTGTACTCGTTGCAAAGAACCCACACGGATTCGGGCTTTTGGGCTTATGAAGTGGACAACTAAGGATACTGGTCCCAAGTATGGCGATGGTGTTGAAATTTATTTGAGCAGCTTCTGCGTCTACCTGGCCTTCTTGCTGTTCTTCTTCTTCTGGCAACGCATCCGAGCTTTTTTGAGAAGACCACTCGTGGTCTTCCTTGACAAGCTCTGCATTGCACAGGGTAATCCAGAGCTGAAGGAGAAAGGGATTCTTGGTCTTGCAGGCTTTCTGGAAAAGTCTGACCACCTTACTGTTTTGTGGTCGGCGCGCTATTTCACTCGCCTTTGGTGCTGTTACTTGTTGGCTGTAAACTCAACTTTTCAACTTTCGGGGTTCTTATAAGGTAGTCGGTTCTGAAAGTTTCAACTCTTGTTCCCTTGGTTTTTGGGCCAGGTTATGAGGTCGCTACATTCTTACGACACAGGCAGCAGATGAAGGGATTGACGCTGCGCCCAGTCGCCTTATCAGTGATGCTTGTGGTGAACAGCTTTTGTCAATTTCTTGGCGTCGTTCAAAACAACGTCCTTGCCTGGGCCTTACAGACTGGTGCTCTCGAGGCTGGGAATGCAGTGACACCCTTCGTGGTCAGCTTCTAGGATGCCCAGTAGTACCCTTATTTCCTTTTTGTAGTCCTAGGTTCCTTATAAAGTTACCCAATACCAAAAAGAGAGGCCTTTTTGTTCTTAGGTTACTGGGTATCCTAGGCTTGGTTGGCTTCGGAATGCTGTTTGTTGCGGCTATTCCGCTTGGATGTTACTCTGCATTGGGAACTTTGAGAGACATTCGGGACCTGGAGCCGCAGCTTAAGCAGTTCGATGTTGAGCGCTCTGAGTGTTTTTGCTGTTCCAACGATCATACGCATCCGGACACTAGCCAGAAATTGCGTTGTGATCGACGTTTAGTTTTCCACACCTTGAAGGGGTGGTATGGGGAAGCTGGGGACACCGCTGATGAGCATCTCAAACGTTTCAACTCGACCGTGCAAACCAGCCTACGTCACAAAGTTTTGGAAGGTGCGGATTCGGTGATCTTTCCGATCCGCGTCGTAGCGTGTATGACTGTTGCTGCTTGTGCACCGTGGTTTTGCGACTCATTGGCTTGGGCAAAGGCATTTTGCCTTTACCAGGAAGAGCTGGGTCCGTTCTCTGCTGCCTGGAGGTGTTTGGCTGTGGTGACACGTGAATGGTCACGGTTCTTTGCCGTCTTCCTTTTCCCCTATGCTCTGGTGAAGCTTTGCAAGCTTGGCCAGCCTCTTGTGGCCAAGATGTCGCAACTAAAAGCATCCCTGTTGGTCTCTTGTGCAGCCAGGTTCACCACTGGGATATTTTGCGTTTTGCCTTATTGGGTTTGCTGTAGGACTATTCAGTAGCAGTAGCATGTGGTATTAAACGCTCGACCCAAAAGCGCCAAGGCAAGCTTCGCAGCCTTCGGAGCCATATGGTTGCTTGGCCAGTGGTAAGGCTCGTTTTGTGGTTTTGGCCTCCGGTCTTGTAGATCTATTTCCGATCCTTTCTCTTGCCTTCCTAAGCGTGACCAAGGTTAGCGAGCAGGATGCCCTACACATTGTTGCAACGAGCAGGCTACGTAGACCTTTGGCCGTGGTTGACGTTGGCGTGGCTACTCCTGGCGCTCTCTTTGATGCGAGCTTTTCGCTGCAAGTCGAGGTAATTCCATCATTTGCAAGCGTGTTGAAGGCTTTAAGACTGCTGACAGCATGTGTTGTGCGATGGTGGGTCATTGTTATGGTTGCCCAGGGTTCTTTTCATTGCTCAATGAGATCTTGAAATTCTCACAAGAAGGATAATCTAGGGGCCTGAATATTACCAGTATTATTCTGAAATTCCTAGGGTTCCTTGTGTTAGTTGCAATATAATATACCCCAAAACCCTATTCTAACCATTAAGGCCCCTATAGTTTAGTACCCTCATACATTCCTATCGTAACCTTTATAGCAACCCGTAGAAATTCCTTTAAAGGAACCCTAGGAACCCTATTCTAACTACTGTTGATGGCCAAAATCCTGCATTACCCATTATAAGGAACATACCATAGTTCCCATAGTTTAGAGTCCTTAGGGTCATGCAGGATTTATATCATCAACCCTAAACCCTAAACCCTATAGATCCCTTAAAGGAAGCCCTTAAAGGTAAGTCTTATAGATCCCTTTAAAGGAGCCCTAGGATTTTGTCCACCAGCAGTATGAAGGCCCCTATAGTAACCTTTATAGCAACCCGTATAGACCCCCTTTAAAGGAACCCTAGGAACCCCATTCTAACTATGAAGGCCCCTATATTACCTGATAGGCGTTTCTCACTCGCGAGCCCAGTTGCAGTGCTGGCCGCCAGAGCCTCGCTTCGATTTTTTTCAGGGGCTTGGGTGTACCTAGACCCCCAACTACCCTCTAATATCTCCTAAATACTTGGAGGGGCAGGGGACTTAGTAAGTAGGGTTATAAGTAGGGTTTTAATTGGGGTAGCTCCATTTAGGGTACTTATACCTCTACTTATAACCCTACTTACTAAGTCCCCTGCCCCTCCAACTACCCTCTAATGTATCCTAAATACCTACTATTACGGGCCATAAGGGCTCTATTAAGAGGCACTTGGGGGGTCCTGGTAGGGTATAGGGTTTAGAGGCTTTGGGTTCAGGGTTTGGAGGTTCGGGGTTTAGAGGTTCAGGCTCAGGGGTTACGGTTTAGGGTTTAGAGGTGCCGGGTTTAGGATTTTTCCTTGCCCAATTGTACAGGACCCGTGTGACCCGTGTGGAGCGAAGTTTGAACGTTTCACCCGAGCCCTCTGCGTGTTCACCTTCGAATGCTGGCTCCTTTCTATGCTCCCGGAAGCGTCGAGACAGTTGTTTTTGCGCACAGAGTACTGGGATTGAAGATTGTGTAGAAGTTTCGCACAGTGCGGCGTCGTGCTGTTCTTGAAGAAGCCTCCTTGATGCGTTCGGTAGGAGGCTGAATCCTTACCAATATTGGCCGTGCCGTTCCTTGTGGTTTTTTCATTCAGTATACCTATACTATAATAGCTAATGTGCCTCAAACCCATTTCTGAGTAGTAAGACCTCTATATCACCTAAACTTTACCCAACTACAAAACGCTCCGAAGTTAATTTGGGGAGCTGCTCCGGTTTTATGTCGTTCTCCGTGTAGACGACACGAAAGCGGCTACTCTCATTGGTCAGCCCGGTCCGTTGCCCGCCCATACATCTTGGTTCCGATGAACCTGTCTCCTTTGAAAACGCTCGTGCATATAAGCCAACCAAATGCCAACATGGTTCCTCGTAGCGATTGTTTCTAGGTTTGCTGCCCTTCGTTTGCCTTGTTTTTGTTGTGGCTTTCGCATGTGATTGTCTTAATCCTATTCTTCCACTTTGGCTGGGTTACTGGGTTGATTTCAACGGAGTCTCGGTTCGCTCTACGATTCCTATGAAGCCTCAGAGGATTTTGGGTAGTATAATGGGCCCCCAAACCCTATTCTAATTATTGAGGCCCCTATGTTACCTTTTTCAATCACCCTGCACAAGAGGTGGGTTTGGTCAACTCCAGCCCACTCCAGCAGGGGCTTTGCGGAAGTCGCGTCCAAGTGGTGAAAGAACCCCAAGAGTCCAAAGGACCCAAGAACTAGGTACTCGGTTTTAGGATGGTAGTTATGTAGGTTCGGATTTTGGAGACTATATGATTATTAGGTACTTGGACCCTCGGGGGAAGTTCTTGGTCGCGCCCAGATACCCGAAGAAACTGCAGCAACTCGTGAACAAACAGTCTATCTCTGCGAGGTGCTGGTTCGGGGTTCCTTGTTCTGGGCTTTGGAGTACCATACTTTAATTAGATAAATTTTTGCTTAAAGGAATCATTGTGAACTCAAGTATCCTCTGCCCTACGCCGCCGACGCCCATGACCATGGCAGCCACTGCATGCCAGCTTTGTCATAGTTGGGTAGCATTTTACATGTTTGGCGGTACCTCAACTAAAATGAGGAATGAAGCATGCAGCAAAATCTTAATTCATCTTTTCCCAAAAATGTAAGTTTTCGAATACTAGCCCAACCAGGAGCTAGCCATACGGCCCCTAAACCCTAAACCCACAACCCCAAACACTAAACCCCTAAACCCCTAACCCCGAAACCCTGAACCCTAAGCCGCTCAATCCCTAAACCCTCATCCAATGACCATGGCAGCCACTTTATCTTACCCTTGGTTAGTAGGGAATTGAGCAATGGGGTACAATTATAATGCAATGCCAACGGATTTTAGCATATATTGCCCTGGGGGGAAGGCAGATTCTGCAGCCGTAGCTCTTCATTCAAGTAGGACTCCTACTGCTGATGGACAAAATCCTGCATTACCCATTATAAGGAATATACCATAGTTCCCATAGTTTATAGTCCTTAGGGTCATGCAGGATGTTGTCCATCAACAGTATTACTACCATTCTTCCATTCCCCACTAGCCAAAAGTAAGTCATGCCAGGGCACGGCGGCCACCTGTCCGGACATAGCTTCGGACCTGCGGGAGCTGCGGGCCGAGCTAAGAATGACGGTCTGATGGGACTTAGGGCTCCTTTTGAGGGTACTTTAGGGTTTAGGGTTTTAGGGCTTTAGGGTTTAGGGGCTTACGGTTTAGGGGTTTAGGGTTTAGGGTTTACATTTTAGGGTTTGGGGCTTTATATAGGGTTTTATAGTAGGGTCCCTTTTGAGGGTTCTATAAGGGATCTACACGGTACTGAAAGGATCGTGGAACGTAGTAACTTAGGGGTTCCTTAAAGGGCTCCTTTAAAGAGATCTATAGGTGTTCTGTAAGGAGGGTTGTAGCGTCTACTTAAAAGATCATGGGACGTAGTAACCACGTTTATTATTGGTGTGACTGTACTTATGATCCCTAGTAAGGTATTTTTTTGCCATACTTACTAAATGCCATGATCCTCCAAGTACAGGGTCATGTGACTTAGTAACTAGGGCCATTATAAAGGCAACTCTACTTGTAAGGACTTACACCCCAAGTGTTGTAGTATAAACCAAACTTAGTTACGAAGTCCCATGATCCTCCAAGCGGGCGTGAGGGGTCGTAACTTGTACAATAGTGGGGCGACTTGATGGTCGTCAGGACGCTTGTCCGGCCATCTTTTATGTTCATTCTTAGCGCTATAGAGTGTGTCTGATTGGCAGTTTGGCCTGTCATTCTCTGCGACTTGCCGGTCTGGCTTTCACCGCAACCTCGAGCAAGACAGCCATCTCCGGTCCGAATTTCAGCGTTCTAGCAGAACGCCCTAAGCCCTGAACCCCAAGAGCCGTAGACTGCCAGGACCTCCCCGAAGTTGTAGGCCCCCTCTGATGTCGCAAGAGAGCCCCTCTGCCATCATGGCGGCTTTGGCAATCTTGGCTTTGGCTTCGGCCTGCTTCGCCGAGGCAGCCGGTAGTCGGGGAGCCTTAAGATTTCGGGCTTAGGGCTCACGGTAATGTTATACCCGTGTTTAGGGTTTAGGGTTGAGGGTTTAGGGTTTATTTGGCGCGTTATAGTGACTCATAGTGATCGTATTGTAGCCTGCAAGACCCTATTCTAGTTGTGACCTAAGGCTTCGAGAGACAATGACAAAACCAAGCGCGAGAGTCGGGGAGAGAGTCATCAAAGAAAGAGCGACAGAGGCACAGAGGCAGAGTGAGCGAGCGATCGAGATGAAGGAAGGTTTGATCCATGCATTCTCTCTCTCTCTCGCTCTCTCGCTCGCTCTCTCTCTCTCTCTCTCTCTCTCTCTCTCTCTCTAACCCTCTTACCCTAAACCCTAGCCCCTAAACCGTATACATATACAGCAGATAATGTTCAGGCCTCCGAATTCAATCCTAGAGGCGGCACCCGCCGAAGCTCTCCGGGCGTACTGTTCAGGATTTGAGGGTTTTAGGTGTTCAGGGGCTTTGGGTTTAGCGTTGAGGGGTTTAGGGTTCAGGGCTTTGGGTTTAGGGTTTAGGGGCTTGGGGTTCAGGGGTTTGGGGGTTTAGGGGTTTAGAAATCAGGGTTTAGGGTTTAGGGGTTCAGGGGCTTAGGGTTGCAATTTTGAGGGTTCTTTGGTTCTGGGTTGTCAGGCTTAGAATGTGCATGAAGGGTAGAGCCGAGCTCCGCAGTCCTCCATATGTTTGACATCCTTGTCGAGCCCTCGCAAAGTTACACCCAAAGCAGCACCCTGCTCCGGTGAAGCGTGTAGAGACGATGACAAAGCGCTGCCGAGTCAGCGCATACGTGAAGTATGCACCTTGAACCCCAAAATGCCGACGATCCTTCAAGCATCGTAAGAATCGCTAAGTAGCTCAACTATCACTGATTAACCAGTGTCATAAACAGGAGAAAGTTGAGCACGTTTAACCCCAAGTAGCCCCAAGTTACTTATCCAGTCCCGTGGTCAATGGTCCTTCAAGCAGACCCTATAATTTTCCGTAGCCCGAACCCCCAAGCCCCCCTAAACCTTAAACTCAAAAACGGAGGCCAATTCCATGATGCCCGTGCGGAAGGTGCGCGAGACAGGGCATTTGAGGCAGTTCGAAGGCGTCGTAATTTCTTGTTTAAGTCTTTAAAGGGGTGGGTTGTTTGGGGTGAAGGTAATCCCTAAACCAACTCATTTACGGAGCAGGGTTTTAACCCCTGAGCCAGCATGGGTGTGGGGTTTATGGCCTAAGTGGGCTTTACACGGTTTAAGGCAGTGACACTCAGTACGCCACCATAGAGAGCTTTGCTTGTAGAAACCCATCAAAGAGGAAGACAATTTTTGTGTGACGGCTCAGGGGGTCTACCGAAGCAAATTCCAACCCCCCGCCCCCTTACCAACAAAAAGAAGGCCTTTGGAAGGAATGTTCGCAATTTTTTGTGAGGAGTCTTAACGGGATCCTCAGCAAAGAGTCTCCGAGGAGCCCTCGACGGATCAGGGAACTTTACCTTGTAAGTGGGCCATGGGCCGTAGGTGCCCTAGATCCCCCTCCCTTATGGAATCTTGGTAGACCCGTCGTCTAGTCGTTTTTTGAAACCTTTCATGCCCCTCAAGGTGTTTTTTCTAGTACTGATGTTCTTACGGTATTGCAGATCTTACGGATTTGCGGTCTCAACTGCCCATGGTTTCTGACCGTTGCATGTAGGTTGACGGCGCAGCTCAACTGCTCATGCTGTCACCTCGAGCGCTCCAACCACATGTACACTACACCAGGAATGGAGAGTTACTGCTACTCCTATTTACGGAGTGTTGGGCTTTTCGGGTACTATCCTCATGCTGTTCCAGTCCTAGTCAGCATGGCTTCTGTTTGCTACGGACGGCTGAGGTGTCGGGTTTGTGGCTTCCTGGTGACAGTTGCTTGCGTTAGGCTGGGCTCCAGAGCTCAGAAATTCTTCAACCCTAAACCCTCAGCCTTGTTCCCCAAATCCTAAGGCCTCAAACCCCGATACCCTAAACCCTGCAGACTTAGTCCTTGCAGCCTTAAGCCCCAACACCCTTATAGACCCTAAGCCTGAACCTCTAAACCCAAAGCCCAGAACCCCAAGCCTTGCTAAACATCATATGGGTGGTTGTCAAAATTAGGGTCCCTGTTTGGGTCCTCATTATAGCACGGCACCTATTATTTAGGGTGCCCAAGAAGGGACCATAATTTTGACAACTACCCATATAACCCCTCAGCCCTGAACCCTACTTGGAGGACCAGAAAACTCAGTAAGTAGGGTTATGGTTAGGGTGTCTGTACCTATGACTGCTTGCAGCCTCAATGAAGGCACTTACAACCATACATACTTACCATGTCCCATGATCCTGTAGTAGGATGCCCAGTAGTACCCTTATTCCCTTTTTGTAGTCCTAGGTTCCTTATAAAGTTACCCAATACCAAAAAGAGAGGCTTTTTTATTCTTAGGTTACAGGGTATCCTAGTGTAGTAGAGCCACTAGGCTGGCACTGCGGGCCATTGGTGGGAGACGGAAGTGATGTACCAGAAGCTGGGCAGGGCATGTGGCCAAAGATCGAGACTCTATGGGGGCCTCATACGATGGCTTTGAGGTAGATCAAAGAATATAGCCTATGTATATATATATATATATATATAAATACAAGTATAAGTATAAGTATAAGTATAAATATAAATATAAATATAAATAGAAATATAGATATATATATATAAATATGTATATATATATATAAATATATATATATATATATATATGAATACGCATAAAATTAGGATCTCTGAGGAATGGTAGTGTTAATGATTCTGTGTTTAGGGGGCTTCGTGTTTACCGTTTCAGGATACATGTCCGACTCTCGAGTTGAAGCTTCGTGCATGACTTCCGCAAGGCAGCAAATAAAGTAATCCCTGAAAGGGTCCCCTTAGTAGCTAGGGTTCCTTTAAAGGGCTCCTTTAAAAGGGATCTATAGGGGTTCTATGTAAGGGGTTTTAGGGTCTACTTAAAGGATCATGGGACTTAGTGACTAGGGTTATCATCGGGGTAACTATACTTCTAATTACTTGGCGTTCTTCTGGTTGGCTCTTAGGACTTTAACTTGTAGGGTTTCTGTATGAACTACAACAAGGAGGCAACAAGTTTAACTTTTTGGAGGGGTTCAGAAGTCAGCCGCCAAGTAAAGTAATCCCTGAAATGGTAGGATTTTGTGCAGGAGCTTTGGAGCTTTATGGAGGGTGGGCGGGGCGCGGGGGGGGGGGGGGGGGGGGGGGTTCGGGTTTAGGGGTTAGAGTTTAGGGGTTAGGGTTTAGGGGTTGCATAGCACTACATAAATACATAAATCCCATGGCCTTAGCCCCAAATCCCGAAAGGTGTTCCGTCGAAGCGGCTGCTTGTACCTAAGATAAACGGAAAAGAAACCTCAAACCCAAACCCTAAACTTGAAACCCTTGAAACACTTTCAAGCCCCACAAAGCCCATTGGACCTGTCTAGTACCCTTACCGAACCCAAAACCCCAAACTCCAGAAGCCTTACCCCCAATCCCCAGAACCCGAACCCTAAACCCTTATAGTACTTAGACCTCCTATGTGATGGTCAGTCAGTCACCTCTTTGCTCCCCACTTCTTCCTCTTTTCTTCCGGCAACCTTATTATAGAATCCTGAACTGCCCTTTGAAGGAGTTTCAAATCCCGCGGTTGATGATATAAATCCCGCATTATCCATAATAAGGAATATGCCATAAGAAAATTCCAATGTCTAGGGTCATTAAGGTAATGCAGGATGTATATCATCAACTACAGGGGTTGCGAAGTCCCATGATCCTTTAAGTAGACCCTAAACCCCCCTTATAGAACCCCTATAGATCCCTTTTGAAGGAGCCCTAAATCCTAGTTACTAAGTCCCATGATCCTCCACTTTAGAACCCTTCTAGATTCCCTTCAGGAACCCCATTATAGAATTCTACACTGCCCGTTAAAGGAGCCCTAAATCCTAGTTACGAAGTCCCATGATCCTCCACCCCTAACCCTAAACCCTAAATCCTAGACCCTAAAGCCTAATTCCTAGCTACGAAGTTACGAAGTCGCATGATCTTATAGATCCCTTTAAGGAGCCCTTTAAGGAACCCTCTAGGGAACCCTTTAAGGATACCTCTAAGGAACCATATTTACGAAGTCCCATGATCCTAAGCCCTAAACCCTAAACCCTAAATCCTAAACCCTAAATCCTAAACCCTATTACCTTGGTTTTTAAGTTACGAAGTCTCATGATCCTCCAAGCCAAGGGTCTACCCGCGATCCTTTCAAGATGCCAGCGGCGATGGCACAGGCCTGGGCTTAAGGGGTTTAGGGCTTTGGGGTTTAGGCTTGGGCTCCTTTAAAGGAATCAATAAGAGTTCCTTAAAGGGATCTTTAATTGGGTTTAGGAGTTTAGGGTGTAGGGTTTAGGGCTGGTAGGGCCTCGGGCTTCAAGGCTGCAGGTTTTAGAGTTTAGGGTGCATACCATAGTTATGGTTCTAGTAAGGAACCCCCAAGCCCTATTCAGTTTATTAAGGGATTAAGAGCTCTACATTATCATGGAGCGCAGGGCCGTCGTGCTGTCCTCGGCTCGTAGGCAGGGGGCAGAGAGCCGAATCGCGGCGGATATTCAGGCACACAACATGCGGGCGACGAGCATACTTAAAGGATCATGGGACTTGGTAACTAGGGTTCCTTAAAGGGTTCCTTAAGGGGGCTCCTTTACAGGGATCTACAGGGGCTCACAAGATGAGGGAGACGATTATAATATTGGGTACCTTTTGAAGCGGGGCAAGGATGCATGCTTGACACCGAAGACAAAAAACCTGCAAAGAAAGGACCCAAACCTTACCGAGACTTTGCTGCCTTAGACATCTGAACCAAACGCCTTAAAGCTTGCAATCCCAACTTACCACAAACTCTACACGCTAAGCCCCTAAACCCTAAGCCCTGAACCCTAAACCTTATAGCCCCATAAACACTGGAACCCGAAAAATGGAGCAACTTCAGTAGGAGACCCGAAATCAACACCCTGAACGATAAACGGCAATGATATGTGAGATCCTAACCTTTTAAGGGTTTAGGGCGTTTAGGGTTCAGGTTTTAGGGCTTATTTCCTAGGGATTCATGGTTTAGGGGTTTTGGGTTTCGGCTTCGGGGTTAGGGATTAGGGTTTAAGCATCATAAAACCCTTTGAGCACCCTGGCAGGCAACCGTTCAACTCCAAACCCGTTACCCTGCTCAAATAGGGCCCCAAAAAAGCACATAAGCAAAAATGAGGGTTGGGATATCCCATATAAACCCCCGTATAACGAAGCCCAATAAGGTAGGGATATCACCATTGAATAATGCTTATGCTTATGTGCTTTTTGGGGTCTCTATCAAAAGCATTTACCTCTCGAACAATTGCAACCACTTGTAGTACCGTTTCAAAATTCGAAAGGCCTTCTGCAGATCCCTTGTGATAAAATCGACACAGGACACCGCATGTAGTAGAGTGTTGAAGCCTTGTCCTTATCGTCACCTTTCTTCGAACCGTAAGAGGAGCCTTCTCCCTGAATCCCCAGGCCTGCTGCAACTGGGAGGAAAGGAGTTCAAACAAAAGTCCCCAGGCCATAAACCCTAAACCCTAAACCCTTAAACCCTAAACCCTAAACCCTAAACCCTAAACCCTAAATCCTAAACTCTAACAGCCCAAACCCTGGAGCCCCTGAAGCCCAAACCCTACCTGGACCCTAAGAAACCTTCATTCTGGGGTTCCTTATTTGATTTCCTTTTATGAGTCCTTTATTTGGGGTCAACGTAATCCCCGGAAGCCCTAAACCCTAAAGCCTAAACCCGAGCACCCTAAACCCTAAAGCCTGAACCCTAAAGCCAAAACCTCAAACCCTACTGTTGATGGACAAAATCCTGCATTACCCATTATAAGGAATATACCATAGTTCCCATAGTGTAGAGTCCTCAGGGTCATGCAGGATTTTGTCCATCAACAGTAGTGTTTCCGCAAGCTTTTTTTACGCAGGGGACCTCAAGGGCATCGAGCAACGCCTGCCTTATCTCAAGGCCAGAGCAGTAAAGACTTGTCTCGGGGTTTAGGTTTTAGGGTTTAGGGTTTAGGGTTTAGGGTTTAGGTTTTACCTTAACCCTGAATAACCTACCTAACCCTATATAAACCCTAAACCCTAAACCTTCAGACACTACGAATCCTCAACAGTGAGACTGAACTTCTAAGTCGACCAACCACAAGCCCTGTTCGAATCATGAATGCCCTCTCGGAGGGGCAGGGGACTTAATAAGTCGGGTATAAGTAGAGTTAAAGTTATTAGTACCCTAAATGGAGTTACCCCAGTTATAGCCCCACGTGCCCTGCCCCTCCAAGCTTGGATTTCGCCCCCCGGCCTTACCAGAAGACTCTGAGAGTATAAAGAAATGCATTATGCACTATTAGGGTTTAGGGTTTAGGCACTACCTTAAGACCCCAGGCACACTAAGAGTGTCGGTTTTGGGGTCAAAAGTCTAAAAATGGTGCCGAGGCTCTTGGATACTCAGGTTTATACATAAAGCATACTTGATAGATTCTTTTTTAAAGCCAAACAGAATTCAAAAACCAGATACGAACCCACACTCAACACCTAAACCTGCAACATATAAACCCTATATAGCCCTGTCCTGAAGCCTTATTGCGATCCCTGCCCCCGCCACATTCCTTATAAAGCCCCTTGTAGAGCCTTTCACGTATTAGTATCTAAAACATTCTACAGTAAAAGCCAGAAAGTTGGAATATGATTATCCTAATCCTTCTATGTTAAATTATAGGGTATCCTACCCTGAAACCATATTCCAACTTTCTGGAGTTCCCTTTATAACGTCAAGCCCCAAGCCCTCAACGACAATTCTGAACCAGGGCTCCCCCAAGACCCGAAAGCCTGCAACCCTAAAGGGAACTCCAAAAAGTTGGAATATGGTTTCAGGGTAGGATCCCCTATAATTTACCTCAAAGGGGTTACGATAATGATATTCCAACTTTCTGGCTTCTGCTGTACACCCTGAACCCTTTTTAGAGCCCATTGTAAAGGGTCCTTTATGAAAGCCCCTTTCCATCCCCCTTATAGCCCTTGTACTGCATCCGCTCCTTATCGAGCCCTTGAACAACCCAGGCCCTTACCAATTTTCCTAAAACCCAGCTTAACCCTGAATAACCTGCCTTTTTCGGGCTCCTTCCTTTTTAAATATTTTCCTTATATAAAAAGTCCTTAAAAAGGTAGGTGATTAAGGATTAAGGTAAAGCTTAAACCCTAAACCCTTAACCCCTTGAACCCCTTATGCGGCGCCTTTTAGGGCTTTGCACCTAAAGGCCCCCTAAAGGCTCTAAAGCCTCCTGTCGTATCCCGAGGAGTTGGGCGTGGGCTTTATCTGGCTCTCCCCTGTGATGCAGAGTCCGATGCTGGACTTCGGCGACCTGGCGTGAGCTTTTGGGCTCAGGGTGTAAGGGTTCCAAACATGACCATAATGGTGTTGGGTCCAGGGGTTAGGGTCTTAGGGGTTTAGGGTTTGTTTTGAGGGTTTCGGTTTAGGGTTTTGGGTTTAAGGTTTCGGTTTAGAGTTTAGGGTTGGGGTTTAGGGTTCGGTGAGCTGGCGAGTAGGCTTTAAACCCAAACTGAGCAGGGTTTAGGGTGTGTGTTTGTTCATTAGTTTTGTTTGAAGTTTATTGTCAATCCCTGGGGATCCAAGGGCTCATCTATGAAGGCTTTTGGGCCCAAAGACCATACTATCTAAGGCTTTTGGGCCATTTTGATTCCTAGGGAATGATTTTTGGTTTGCGGTTTTGTTTATAACTTTTGTTTGTGGGTTATTAGTTTCACGAGTTTTGCTGGAGGTTGTTCTCTTGATTGTGTGTTTGAAGTGTTGTTTGATGATGTTTTGCTTACAAGGTTGCCATGATTTCTGAGGATGTTTGAGTCAGCTAAGGACGATATCTGGCAGGGTTGTTGGACTCCCCAACCGCGGCTTAGGGCGTAAATCAGACGAAACAGTAAAGATTCTGTTCATCAAAACCCTGTTCTATTTGTTAAGCTCCCACAGTATGGCCATCGTTTGAGACACCTGGCTTTCTCCGAAGGCTTCAGACAATCACAGACCTGCAAGACTTTGGGCGCATTTAGTGCTTAGAGACTCTGCATTCTTTTCGGCACGCTATTCCAGGCATTTTGCGGTAGATCGTGTATCTTCGGATGACGCGACTCCTAAACTTAACTACCCCCAACCCGAATTCCCATTTCAGATAGAAGGCCGTTGGATGATTGCAGTTTGGAGAGAGGGGCATCGTCTGCTTAAGGTTCAGCGTTTTGGGGGGACCTGCTTGGACGAACATGGGACTTAGTAACTAATTGGGGTTATTATTGAGGTAACTATACTTATAATTGTTTATAACCCCAATTAAGGTACTTATAACCGTCATTACGAAGTCCGATGATCCTTTAAGTGGGGTTATGGGTTTTCGGGATGAAATGCGCAGGGCGAGGGGCCTCCGGAGTTCAGGGATTCGGAGGGTTTGAAAGGGTTCAGGGTTTAGGGTTTAGGGTTTAGGGTTTAGGGTTTAGGGGTTTAGGGTTTAGGGTTCAGGGGTTTATGATTCTTGGCGTTCTTGTGGTTGGCTCTAAGGACTTTAACTTTGGGGTTTCGAAATGAACCATAATAAGGAGGCTACAAATTTAACTTTTCGGAGGGGTTCAGAAGTCAGCCAAGGGTTTGGTGGTTCAGGTTCATTGTAGGGTTTCGAGGTTAGGACTCGAACTTCGAGGTTAGGTCCTCATCCCACGTTGTAGGGTTTCGAATTTAAGGTTTAGGTTATTAAAGGCTTAGGATAACCCTACGTAAACCCTGAACCCAAAACCCTAAACCGTGATCTCGACGGTTGATGATATAAATCCTGCATTACCCATAAACAGGAATGTACCATAATTCCCATAGTTTCGGGTCCTTAAGGTAATGCAGGATTTTTATCATCAACCGTAGGACTTACTACATCGACGCGACAGGAGTTCTACCAGGACTAGGAGGGCAGGGCTACTCTCATGAGATACTTTAACTGCTCACAAAAGCCCTTAACCCCACCATGCGTTGGCTCATTTTTATGTAGCGTTGTTTAGGGTTCAGGGTTAGGGGTTTAGGGTTTCGGGTTTAGGGTTTAATATAGAGTAGTGTTCAGGGATTGGAAGCCTCCGAACCGTCATCTGCCTGTCGCCGGCTCGCTTCAGCATTTGCTCCGCAGCATGACATGGAAGCCAGTGTTTGGGGTTTAGGGTTTAGGACACGTTGCAATGGCCGTTTTGTAGAACCCGTAAATGACTCTATGAAATGCTTGTAAGACCCTTGTAGGACCCTTCTGGATTCTGGAACCCTGTCCAAGCGATCCATGCATGCGGATCTTGGGTGCACAGCCGAAGGTGTAGCTTAAGGTTTGAGGATGCAAAAAGAAGAGTTTATGGAGTAGGCTTCATATGTGCGAAAGACCCATAAGGTTGGGGTTAGTGGCTTCAAGGATCGTGATGAAGAAGCAGCCAGTGTTCAAGAACCAAAGCCTGTGCGTGCTTCCTTGAATAATTCGGAAGTGAATACCCATGGGCCTATGACTGGGCCGTCTTTCATGCACATGCGGCTGCAGAACACGACAAGGCACCGTGGCCAGGGCTACCGTCAGGTGCTTTGATGAATCGTCGGAATCATATGACACAAAGCGTACAGTGATCGTTTCATCCCTACTTGAAGGTTCATGGGTAATTATACGTAGGGTTCTAAGTAGGGTAGCTATACTTATAGCCCATATTATGGGGACTTAGAATCCCACTTATAACTACCCATGAACCTCCAAGTAGGCCCTAAACCCTATACCCTTATAGAACCCCTATAGACCCCTTTAAAGGAACCCTTAAAGGAACCCTAAACCCCAGACCGTCACGCTGACTATACTACAATGCATCCTCCCAACCCTGGTCCAGGCCTCGATCTCCTGCCTAGGGTTTAGGGTTTAGGGTTTAGGGTTTAGGGCCACATTGTTTTTGAGGCTGTGCTTTTTTCGTCAGCTTCTTTTGGTTTTGAGGGGTTAGGGTTTAGGGTTGGACTTAGTCTTTGCCGCAAAAGGCCTAAGACCCTCGAGCCCTAAGCCAGTTTTAGAGTGTGTGGATTCAGGGTGCAGGTCTTTGCGTACGTCGTAGCATTTCGTAGCTCTGGGTGGTTTCGGGAGATCAGTATCTAGTATAGTCTAAAGTATGATATAGTGGGATTTCTCGTTTATTTCGTGTAGTATTACATGTTGAGGTATGCAGTTCATTGTAGTCATGTTTGCCTTCCCGTCACTGCCAAACCTAAGCTCTGTGAACAGGTTGTTGTAAACCTACAGGCTCGAGAAATATGAGCCACCGGAGGGGATTGATCACCGTCGCATTCCACGAAGCGACCATTGCACCAATCGAAACATGTCCAGGAGCTTCACAAAATACAGTCATCAGATGATTTTTGTGCCGCAGACACACCCAGAGCCAAGTCGACTTGTTTGCCCATGTACTTCACGTACAGCCTCATGTCTGCCGAAAAGTGCAGGCAACCACGTGTTCCTGATGGCGGGGAGGATGTTCCCGATGCAGGCACGGGGACCTGCCTTAAGTGTCGTGAGACTAAGTCATTTCCAATGTGAGTAGAGTGGTAAATACTGTGATTGAGGCTACGCCACTGTTTAACACTGGCTTTGGCCTACTTACCAAGTTCCCGAATCGTATGCTTAGGTCGCTTTCGCTTGTTTTTGGACGGCTCACGATTGTCTGCCTTGCGGATAAGCACAACCTAACTCCACAGCCCCAAACTGCACAACTCTTGAATTATTCCCTTGAGCCTTTGGCCTTAAACCGCCTAAAGCTTGTAAAACCTCAGCCCTGAAGAATAGTTTGGCTGAAGGATGGCATCCTTCATGCAGAAAAATTCACTCCATCCGAGAACCCTGAACCCTAACCCCCCGAAAAGAAAAGGCACCATCGCCGAAGCTTGGCAGTGTCCTCTGTGAAACTCTTGCCTTAAAGCCCTAACCTAGGATGCCCAGTCGTACCCTTATTCCCTTTTCGTAGTCCCAGGTTCCTTATAAAGTTGCCCAATACCAAAAAGAGAGGCCTTTTTATTCTTAGGTTACAGAGTATCCTAGTAACACAAGGAATCCTTGCCTACTTCCTTGCAGGGTCTGGGGATAATAGAGCTGATGCGGCAACTGTAGAGACTGGTTGTTTAGGGTTTAGGGTTTAGGGTTGACCTGAATATGATGTACCGTGATGGGGAAACGTAGCATTTTCTGTATATCCCGGTCACGGTAGTTCAGACTGCGATCCTGCAACCCGAAAAAACCGTGCAGAACCCAAACGACCCAAACTCCATAAACATCATCACACCCTTTTGAAACACCACAGAAATCCGAAACCACGGACATCTATCTGAGAAAGGCTTCCCGAGCGTCGATGTTGAAAGTGCCACTAGCCAGGCCGGGCGCTGTTGCATGGCAAAGATCCCACTGAACCCTAAACCTTACTTGGAGGATCATGGGACTTGGTAAGTATGGTTATGAAGACCTTATTCGGGGTTTCAAGTAGTTTTCAGTGTAGTTACCCGAATACTAACCCTAGTTGTTAAGCCCCATGATCCTATTAAGTAACCCTAAAGCCCCCTTATACAACGCTAAGACATCCCTTTCAAGGAGTGCTTTAGGCAACCCTTTAAGGAAGCCTAGTTACTAAGTCCAATGATCCTTGAAGTAAAGTTTATCTCTGGGGCTCCTTTCAAATTTTAAAGGGGTGTATAATGCAAGGTTCCCTGTAAGGGCCATTACAAGGCACGATGTTCTTTGAGTATATAGATTGGTAAAAGTGTCACTGCAAGGAATTAGTAGTATTAGGGTTCCTTCGTATGCCAAGAGGCAAACCTATCCAGCTCGCAGGTCGGGGGGAACGATGGGTTCCTTGTGTAAGGACGGGATACCTCAAAAGTATTCAGAACATGTGGCTTGCGCGCCGTGGTGTGATCCAGGTTCTGCGAGTTAAGAGGCTGATGATTTAGCTACTGATTCCTGAGGAGGGCTAATATGCTTGTAGATTTGTGGTGTGGTATGGCATGCCCCAAAACACCTGTACTGATGATTCAGGGCTCTATGTTAGGTTTGTGGCAGTCGAGGTTACATTCGAGAGTTGCTGCTACGGCCCTGTGGGCTGAGGCTTGGCCCCAAGCATACCAAGTTCATGAACTCTCCCAGCGTCGTTTCTAGCATCAATGGGTGTTGAATCGACCACATCAGTCTTCGTCGCCGTCCTGATCAGCAGTAGTTCTTCTTCCAAGCTGCCACAAGCAATGTACTGGTCATAACCGCCGTAGGCAGAGTTGCGACAACCGGGGCGGCACAGCAAGTCACTACTCACAAAATCCTCACCCCGACAG